AAAGCTGCCAAATGCAAGAAATCGCAGTTGGGTTTGTTTATGCTATCAAAACAAGGCGACGATTTAACAGTCTAGTCTAACATGGGCCTCCAAATTTTTAGGTTTTCCAGCATTTCATGGCTAATTTCTTACTTTTTATTTATTTTTTCTTGACAGTGAAGATGATGATGATCTGACTCACCTTGAACAATGCACTGGAAACCTAAAGATTGCTGAAGATAATTTGTGGAAGAAAGATCTAGAAACTGATGCAAATACAACTACATGTACAATGCAGCAGCAAAGTGCAAATCTTGAAAGTCTTAGTTCATCTCAACTGTGCAATACGTTTTCACCAAGCTGCATTCCACACTTCACTCCCTTTTATGTCAGTGTCATTGAAGATCCCGAAGCTAAAATAGGCGCCACTCAGTTAACAAAACATGAGAAAAAACTTTTGTCTGAATACGAGCAGCGAGAAGGTATTCACTTGGCAAAGATGATGGACAATTATGAAAATCCCAAGGAATGGGCAGGAGAGACATATGAAAGAACAGCTGTTAAACATGGTGATAGAGCATTTCACAAGTTTAATAAAAAACTGCAACTATGTCCACAACAATGCTTAAGGTAAGCTTTTGTTAGAGGATTATAATTATCAAGCACCAGAAACTCTTTGTAGCGGTGATCAAATACAAAGAGGAGAACTGGATTGTATTAGGCACCCAAGAGTATTTTTGACAAGAGAATATCATTGTATTTCCAAACGTGTTATGGTGTATGTAATTCGTCAAGTTCAATGTAGAATTATTGTTGAATCCCTGTTAATTCTGTGTTTATTTACATTTTTGTGCTAGATATCAGTGGAATGGCGCTCCTGTGTCTACGGTAACTGAAAACGTGTCAAAGCTCTTGGCAAACGTTCCCCGATGTCAACATTGTGCAGCAGAGCGAGTCTTTGAGTTACAGTTTATGCCCGCGCTGATTGGTAATTTAAAATGCGCAAAACGGTTGAATTTAGCTCATAAACCTGATTCCCCTCACCATGAAAATCAAGAAGGACAAATATCACAAGAAAGCGATCAAACTAAACTGGAAACTTTAGAAAACAATGAAATTTTTGCAGATGATCAAACCCACCAACAAGACCGATGGAAGACGTTCATGGCAGCTGTCAATCAAACTCGTGACGTCACAATCGAATTTGGAACTGTAATGGTGTTCACGTGCTCTCAGGGTTGCTGGAAAAATGTAGAAAACAACGAAGATAGCAGNTGATGGACAATTATGAAAATCCCAAGGAATGGGCAGGAGAGACATATGAAAGAACAGCTGTTAAACATGGTGATAGAGCATTTCACAAGTTTAATAAAAAACTGCAACTATGTCCACAACAATGCTTAAGGTAAGCTTTTGTTAGAGGATTATAATTATCAAGCACCAGAAACTCTTTGTAGCGGTGATCAAATACAAAGAGGAGAACTGGATTGTATTAGGCACCCAAGAGTATTTTTGACAAGAGAATATCATTGTATTTCCAAACGTGTTATGGTGTATGTAATTCGTCAAGTTCAATGTAGAATTATTGTTGAATCCCTGTTAATTCTGTGTTTATTTACATTTTTGTGCTAGATATCAGTGGAATGGCGCTCCTGTGTCTACGGTAACTGAAAACGTGTCAAAGCTCTTGGCAAACGTTCCCCGATGTCAACATTGTGCAGCAGAGCGAGTCTTTGAGTTACAGTTTATGCCCGCGCTGATTGGTAATTTAAAATGCGCAAAACGGTTGAATTTAGCTCATAAACCTGATTCCCCTCACCATGAAAATCAAGAAGGACAAATATCACAAGAAAGCGATCAAACTAAACTGGAAACTTTAGAAAACAATGAAATTTTTGCAGATGATCAAACCCACCAACAAGACCGATGGAAGACGTTCATGGCAGCTGTCAATCAAACTCGTGACGTCACAATCGAATTTGGAACTGTAATGGTGTTCACGTGCTCTCAGGGTTGCTGGAAAAATGTAGAAAACAACGAAGATAGCAGATACCTGGAAGAGTTTTGTTTGGTTGAATGTGACCCGGATGACCGCTTATTTAAATAAAAAAAAACTAAAACGTCCTCTGTTTGTTTCTTCGTTTCTAAGGTCATAGACTTATAGTCCCGAGGAGCGTTGTGTGATGGCACTGGTGTTGACTGCGAAGGACACAAATAGTTCTGTGGCATTTCTACTGAATTTGACGTGGCAGTGCTACAGAGGTGCATATTTTGTGCCGTCAGGTTTGGTTTTTTCCATATTTGAAAATATATCGCTCCTTTTGCGTCGTCAAGTATAAAAAAATAAATGAATACAGTCGAACCTCCATATGCGACCACCTCCCATAAACAACCGCCAATCCAAAACACTAAAATTTTCCCAGTCAAAGCCTTACAGTTTGAACCTCTAGTAGACGACAAACCTCCTGTAAGCGACCGCGACCACTTTTTTGGCCTGACGGTTAATGATTTTCCATTGTATTTAACCTCTTGTAAGGGACCACTTGACGCATTCTCTTATCTCTATGTTCGCTGTGTGCACTATGCTCCTTAGAATATACGAAAACCTTTAGGGACAACATGTCATACACCTGTCGTAACTTAGACATCGCATGAAATAAATTATCTTCCGTAAAGTAGATGTGCCTGGAGCTCTTCTCCTAAGAGGCCCCCAGTGGTTCGATACTTGTAAACGACCACTAAGTCTGCATTTTGGGTGGTCGTTTACGGGAGGTTTGACTGTATAAAAAAGGGTACAATTTTGTCTAATCTGGGTGTTTGTTTCACAAAAAAAGAGACCCACTTACACGGGTGCAAACAAATTTTTAATCGGAAGAAAATTGCACGGGTGCGCCTTCCCTTTACACTGTCGCGCGGAACCGTGCAAATGAAGTTTTTGAACGGCAAACAATACTGCAATCTGTAACAGAATTTACATGGTTCTGTGTAAACTGGTTGCAAAATTTTCCTGGACCCGCGAGTAACTTTTCTGTAACGAAACGCTTTTATATATTTGACGTGTTTGCATTCACGATCAAAGTAATAATAATTTGGAAAATGATACAATGAAACGGTTAGTTAACAAAATAAAATTGACTGGGTTTTGAGCTAGGAACCGTGCTACCGTTAACAGGTTTTGATTCTAAAATTACCTTCGGGCCCCCAAACTTTTTCAGTATCGAATCCAGAATTGAATCCGATTAAACCCTCCTAGGCTGGTCGTTCCTTCCTAAGTTTGATTGCGTTATTATATGCAGGATTTTTACAGTTAAAAGTAAAAGCGGCCACCAAATTGTGTAAATATAGAACAAACTACTTAAAACTGTGACGGAAGTTAGGGAATGTTTACATGGAGGTGGGGGACCCCAGGAAGGTGAGGTAAGACCGCTTAGGGGGGGAAACCCGCCATAATCTCTCATTTAATTTGATCACGTTTACATGATAGGTGGGGTGACCCGCCTCATGTTACCTCGTATCTGGGGTCGCCCACCTTCATGTAAACAGGCCTTTAAACTGAATATCACAAAATGCATTTTTCATTTGTTGGCGATATTGTCATTACCGGGGCCCAGCCGAAGGCTGGCACCGGTCTTAAAATGCTGTCTGTTTCTGTCTTTTTTTCAACGTTACATTGTTAGGGATATATCGCTGACTGAGATATATCGCTGGCTCACTGAAATCTTATCCGCCATTTTGAAAAGCACGAGGCATGGAGGACAGTCAAGAGAAAGGTTATAGCTTTTTCGTTCCCCAACCTTTACGATGCATTAGTTTATGAGCGAAGGTTTAAGAGTGAATATTTGGAGAGACAAATTTACGAGCGATCACTTAAGAGTTAATCACCTATCAAAGCTATCTACCTGGAGTGAACCTTCCATCGTGAAATTTATCGAGAATCAAAGCGAACACTTATCAAAGCTAACTTTATATCATCTTAAAAAATCGTGCTACAAGGCGATGTAGACGTGCTCGTGAACCGAGCAGAATTCCACTGCTATTTCTTAGAGGTCTCAACAAGAAGATTAGCATGTTGAAGAAATTTGTCTTCAATAAGATTTCAACGATTGACACACCGAAGTCTTCAAAGCTCCATCGCTATGTTAATAAGGTGAGAAAACTTTATCATGCACGCTATAAATGTAATAACAAATGCGATCCAAAGATAATTAACTTAAATAAAATGGCTATACCCAAGAAAGCTTATTTGTTGTCTTTCTTTAGCAGACATTATCAGAGGATAATGAAAAAATGTAAAGCACGTCGATATTTATCATTGTTTTCTTGCAATTGTGTAAGTCATATGACCAATTATTTGATTTCAAACTAAGTAAAGATGTTGAGAAGAATGCCAGGACCTACTCAATACAACACTGATCATCATGAAGTAATAATTAGACCTTTTATGCAAAATCAGAGCTCAACAATGCATTTGATCTCTCCTATTTCCTGTGAGAATTTGATGTAGTCAAGATTAGGTGAACTTGGTTTACAATCAATAGATGTTGACAGTGCAGGTGATTGTTTCTTTAGATCTGTATCGCATCAATTATATGGCAATAGCAACCATCATATGCATATACGTACTGCAGGGGTTCAATTTATGAGAGACAACCCAGAGAGCTTTATTGGAAGCAATACCGAAAATTCATGGCCTAAGATATCTGAATAATATGTGTATTCAAGGTACATGGGCTGATGCACTTATCATTCAAGCAGTTAATGCAGATGCATTAAATGTTACTATACAAATAGTAGAATCTAATCAAGGCCAGTTTGCACCACTTACTACTGTTTACCCAGTTCAGGAAAGAAATACTTCCTCTACAATTACTATAGGTCATATTGATGAATGCCACTATGTATCAACCACTGCCTTACAATCAAATGCCTCCATTTCAATGTGCAGTGAATTAACAAATTATACTCAGTCATCAATAAATAAGCATTTTATTATGTCCATATATGCAGTTTGTTTCTCTGTCATCAAATCATGCACTTTCTGGGATTCTTCAACACTTCAGACTCTCCATGAACATGCATGTTTGTTCTATGAGAAGTGTAATGCAGACCGTGTAGGCAAAATTGTGATAATTCTGTAACAAACTTCTTTGCAAACTTTGTCATTACCATTCAACCCAAAACTGTCAGTGATTTTTGCTCTTTCACTCAAACTTAAAAACAAATAAAAACCTTATACAGATCACACTTATTGACATCACAGTGTAAAAACAGTACTATAACACAGACCGTTATAACAACATCCTCCTTTCTCATGCATTTTGTTGCCTTTCTTCTGCATGAGTTAATTCAGACTAAGTATTAGCCTCCACAGAGGAGGGGGGAGGGGTGCGAGAGGTAAACTATATCTATGCAATCCCGTCTCCCACTGGGCCCCGGTAAGTTCCACGTAGTGGTTCTAGTTAAAAATTTAAATTGTCAATCTGCACGGCCAGCAACAGCTAGGGATTAAACCGGGAAAACAGCGTCTTATTACCTTTTGTGGATGAATTATTCGAAAAAATTGTTTTAACATGGTGTGATAGTTTGTTAAATTTCCATACCAGTGTGCTTAACACTTTTGGAAAAATTGTTGCCAATGGTGGATAAGCGAGAAAACGTTTGTCGCGCAATCAGGAATTTTACTATTGAGCTGGCAATCACGAACTTCGAAAAAGGAAATTCGCAAATCTTGTTAATCAAAAGGTTTTTTTTCGTTTGTGTTTATTATTTTCGTTTGTTGTTATCCAAGGTTACTCTTGCTGATTGTTTGCAGGCAACGAGGGTGTATATTATAATCCCTTTGTAAACTGTTTAGTAACAGATGTTAACTACCCTTGATGACATCGTTATTCACATCATATCATAAAGGATAAAGACTCACTTAAAAAAAACTTAACTTAAAATGAACAACCGTAAGCAACCTAGTATGCCTTTTTCTTACTTCAATCGGTGCAACTGCTGAGTTAACCTTTTATTTTACAAATATTGATTTAGTTGTAAACTCGCACCGCTCAGATCAGTGGCTAATTTAACAAAGAGATTTAAGGCGAAGTATATATGTAAAAGCAAATGTTTCTCGTCTGGATTTCTATAAAGAAAGGGTAGTGCGGGCGCTTTTTTTTGTTTGCTTGTTATGCCCTACTTTTTATTATTGCCAATTGAATACTTTCTTTACAAATTATTACCTCCCCCAAAGGATACACTGGAGTTCTCCGGTCAAATATCAATAAATGAAACTTTAGGTATTGATTAAACACAATTGTAATAAATTGTAATTTGTTTACCGACGAAGCGCTTAGGAGTTCATGCGAACTCGTTGAAACGTGTCCGCGCGTTCCGGATCGAATTGGAATTTAGAGGTATTAGTTTTTAAGGAGAGGGAAAAACCGGAGTACTCGGCGGAAAACCTCTCGGAGTAAGGGGCAGAACCAACTACAAACTCAACCCACATATGGTCGACGCCCGGATTTGAACCGTGCCACATTGGTGGAAGGCGAGTGCTCTCACCACTGCGCCACCCTTGTTCCGTAAAATAATACAATAATTGATACAATAATTTGGTTTATGTTGATACGTGTTTTAAAAAACGTGATGTGTGATACGATATATCTCAATAGGTAGCTACCTCAATAAGTAGCTATGGTGAATTAAGAATGTCAATTTAGGACTCAGTATTTAATAACATGCTTCGTTTTATGGAAAGTAACACCTGTTACGCAGGATTGCCTAATGATTGGTGTTGAAAGTAACGCCTGTGGTTTTTGTTCATTCCCACTTTTCCAATATTTGAAATAATGAAAAATGAGAGACGGCCCCCAGAAATTAACTGGTCGGGAAAACTACACTTAATTAATGAAAATCCTTGAATGCTGAGGTCCACTACACGCGTAAGGGTCTGTTACATGGAGGTGGGGGACCCCAGGTAGGTGAGGTAACATGTGGCAGGTCACCCCACCTGTCATGTAAACGTGATCAAATTAAAATGAGAGATTATATGGACAGACGGGTTACCCCACCTAAGCCGGTTACCTCACCTACCTGGGGTCCCCCAGCTCCATGACAACAGGCCTTAAATAGAAACGACTGGTTATTTCTTACCGGATCTATAATGTAGAGTTGCTAATGACAGGTGTCACTTGAAGTTGGAATTCAAACAAAACTGAATACAATGCTGGTAATGCGGCGGCAAAGGGCTGATTTATTTGAGGCCAATATTTCGGCCAACAAAATTAGCCTTCCTCAGGGCCAGAGCTACACTGAAATATTGGCCTCAAATAAATCAGCCCTCCTCTGTACTGCCAGCCTTGCATTCACTTTTGTCTTTGCAATAATTGTTTTTGTTCTGTTTTTTACTTGGCCGTGATGCTAACATCTAACAATGTCTTCTTTGTAGGAAGATAAGATAAGAATGACTGTAAATTTAAGTCATCTTCTCTGCTGGCTGTTCATTGTTATCGTCAGTCTTCATTCATTTGTATGCTTCAAAAAGTGAACGCGCCAATGCATTATGCGAGAAAAAGGCCCTATCGCTGAAAACCGATACCAGGAAAAATTTTTCTCTCGAGGGTTTTGTCTTTGAGACCTTAAACTTGTCAGTTTGGAAGGATTTTCTTTATATGTGTATGGGAAAATGTCAGTGTCTTTCCTTCAACTTTCACGAGAGGAGGAAAACCGAGAACTGTGAATTAAACGATGCCAGCACCACGTTAGAGCCCGATGCACTGACAGCGAAAGAAGGGGTGGTTTACTATGAGCCAGTCAGGACATACTACGACAATAAGGTAGGTGCTGATACCCTTTTTAGACGGAGAAAATGAGTTTTAATTTGAGTCTCTAGGAACTGTCGGATCTGACAATGCCAGGACAATGCATTGTTGCCACCTGGTATGACATTCACGAAAAAACTTCTAGGGCCAGATATTAAACAGAGTTTGGCAGGTGTTTGACAAACTCGTGCTCTAAAATTCTCTTGAGTTTGCCCAAAGCTTTCATCTTAACACCATTTATTGTGAACAGTTTCAGGAAAGCATATAGGTAGACTGGAAAAGCGCTTATAATTATTTTCTTAAATTAGCGCACTGAGAAAGAGATCTGGAGGTCTAATGATGTCTTAAACCACGGCCTTAGTAAGACTTCGCTTAAAATGGGCAAATTCCCGTATACGAGTTTATTCGTTTTTTCGGAATTCGCACCGCCCTCAAGAAAACTGTTGCATGGGTTTCCCTTAAAATTCTTTTAAGATGTTGAAGGGTAATCTATACTTGAGCATTAAGGCCTATGACCGTAAAGCTTGAGCAGAATAATTGGCCTCAATATTTTATCCCATTATCCAAAGTATGCATGCTAGGTGTTAGTGACCGTCAACGTATATTTAGAGCGCAAAAACTTAAATTAGAAATAGAACCAGTTATAAAAACAGCCATTCAAAAATGGCTTCAAAATAAGTCATTAAAAGAACGACAGAAAAGTCTTTGCCCGAGCTTTGTTGAATATTTTGTTGACAGCCAAATGGATGACATTTGTCTTTTATGCCCAGTCCCCTTTCGAACCAGTTTCGAATTTCATCGCTTTCTTAAAAATTAGCTTAAAAAGGCCCAGGTATAAAGATGACAATGCCGCTAGTCTCATACGAAAACCGATAACTGCTCAGCAAGAAAGTTTTTTAAAAAAATAAAGCCATTTTGGACTGAAAATAGCTTTAATTGGTCGCGTGACGATGAGTACCTCCAATTAGCCAACAGGGCGTTTTTACTCGCGTGGCCAGCATAAATGCACATTCATTTGAACAAAAGAAAGCGTTTACACAAGGAAAGAGTTCAACTTCCACAGGATTTGTTGGAAACACCAAAATGGCCTCCTTTTCATTGTTTTGGAACACCAATATGGCCGCCCTTGAACAATCGCCATAGAGTCTGAAACAGCGCAAGTTCGCATAAATTCCCCGCCGTCATCGTTTTGTTGCTTAAGGACTCAACAACTGTACTATTTTTTTTTCAGGGTATTCCTAGCCAAAGCTGCTCTAATCAAACCTGTCACAACAAATGCTGTGACATGTCACCATGTCAGCACGGCGGCACCTGTCATGGAGTGTGTGACGTCACAAAGAGAAGAAACAGGTGCACATGCGCACAAGGTTTTAGCGGATACAAGTGTCAGATCAGACTGCCTCGGTCTTGTAAAGATGTCATGGTGTTGGAGAATGCCACAAGCACTGGAATCTACAATATCGTGGATGAAGACAACAAGCGCTTCGCAGTGTACTGCGACTTTGGTTCCGAATCTGGAGCAGCTTGGACCCTAATTCAGTCTTGCTCCTTGTGGAACTTTTTGGACCACTTTCAAAGAAGACCCTTTTATGCATATAATATGTCAATAAATCCTAATTCACCTGGATGGCAGAGCTACCGTCAGTCATTACCCCGTATGCAGTCGATACGGAACGCATCCACTCATTGGAGAGCAACTTGTAATTTTCCAACAGATGGAGTGGACTACCGAGATTACAGGAGAGTTTCATTGCAAAACTTGGATTTGACTGTGGATAATAAAAAAGGGGATCACTGCCTTTTTTCTGAGCATGTTAATGTCCGTGGTAATGAGTGCACAAACTGTACAGTTTGGTGCATCTACAGTTCTACATTGGATCTTCATATGGATAGCTGGGGTGGTACTGGAGGTTGCTCTTTCAACGGTCGGCCAGGGGGAATACGCTCTGAGGATAACTTTGGTTACTACACTAGCCGCAACCATAATTTCCGTTGTACCTCCTCCATAAATTCCACAACAGTTCTGGCTCGGGAGCTTTTAGGCTTCCACCTTGAGACGCGCCCTAATTTCAAACTTAAATGTTTGTTAAAGTATTTAGTCATCAATGAGTTGGCAAACAACTGTCATTTTGAATTTATAAAATAGTGATAAAATGAAATTTCTGATAATCAACCAGAGCTCTCCTTGTTTAGAAGGTAGAAGCTACACTCAGGGCTAGGATCGAATTCTTGACATTATATCCAGATGCTGTAAATATGCTTTGACACAAAAAACTGTCGATGCGTACTTCGAGATTCATTGTTAGGCTGATTTGCCCTTGACTTTAGCAACTACGTTTGGGCAATAATTTAGTGAGAGCTCTGGCTTCCAACAATGTGGACCCTCCTAAGGTCAAGTCCCGGCAATGACTGAATATATGGAAGGCTATACAGCTATTTCGAGAAAGTTTGTCGGAAAAAGTGCACGCGACAATCCCGAAAGGTATTGTGGGTGGCTTTGAGGGCACTGTTCTTCAAAGAAATTTGAAAGAATGGTACGGAAGGCCACAGACATATGTTTGCGAGTACTAGAGGAAAGCAACAAAAGTAGGTTCGACAGCTTCAGTCGTTACGAACAGTGAATTGATCATATCCCATATTACATTTCGGGATTGTCGAGTGCGCATTTCTTCCGACAACCTTTCTCGAAACAGCTGTATACAGTAAAAACAATTTAGGCTCGCACCTTACGACCATCAACCCTGCTTTTCGCTGTACCCGGCTCCTTGTGAAATTCTAAACTTAAATTTGGTTTGGGAGACTTAAAGCTAGTGCCCCATATTCGGCTGCATTGCAGTTTAAACGTGGCCATCAGTCTTTGCAAACAAGAAGGTTAATACCTTACAAATCCGTGTTCAGGTCGTCAATATATCGCTCAAAAGCTTTCTTTTCTCAAAATATTGTTCTCTCTGTATGTCATATTTAGTGACGATATCATATGATTTCTGTCTGAAAGCGGCCCACATCATGCAATCAAGTTAAGGTCCTCGCTAAGCAGAGCAAATTTGCAAGCACGATGATAGTCTAACTTTTTATGGATGATTTAAGTGGACTGTAAATTAACCAAACATGTAATTTTTTGGAGGGAAATTCAGTTCTACTTAATAAACGTGTTTAAACACATCTCATGAACAGCAGTTCTATCGCATAAAGCAAATACAGTTGAACTTCTCCACAACGGCAGCCTTACAGAATTCGAAGAAAAGTGCCCGTTATAGAGAGTTTTAAACAGAGAGTCAATGTAGATTGTATGGATAATTTGTCCACCGGGACAAAAAGATGGCCGTTGTAGAGAGGGGCCCGTTAGTGAAGGTTCGATTGACAAATATATTTAATTGTGAGCCAATGTTAGGTGCGGCGAATATGGGTCTTGCCTTTTTTTTCAGTATTACCTCTCTTAAAAAGTAACTTTCCTAGAATAACTTTACCCTCTCTCCTAAAATGCCTGTTAGTTGCACCATATATGAATGGGTTGATTGCGCTGCTCAAATAAACTAAGAACCCGTATGTAAGGTACACCTGTCGAGGCAAAGTGGGTATCCTGAGCGCAGCATCAACGTAATCGATGACGCAAACTGGAACCCAGCAAAACGCAAAACCAGCTATTACCGCCCCTAAAGTCTTAGTAACTTTGGTTTCTTCTATGTTCGCTCTTAACTTTTGGAGGTTGTTTCTAGCTGCAAAGATTCGTTTTGTCAACGAAACTGTGTACAACACTTTAACATAGCAGATTATGATCAGCAAAAAGGGTGTTGCCAAATACACACATTCAATAAAAGCGGTAAACGCAATGTTGGTTTGAAACGTGTACAGGCACATTGCTTTTCCTGCTTGGAACTCAAATCCGCCTTTTTCAAAAAAGAACGGAGGCACCGATCCAATTAAAGCGGCACACCACACGACGCCGACGTACGCCAAAGTGTTTCTTGCCTTAAATAAAACGACGTATCTTTCTGGTTTTTTCGCACAGAAATATCTGCTAACTGCAATTATTGCCATGGTGAGAAGAGACGTCATGCCAAACGTAAGAGCACCAAAGCCATGGAACTGGCACAAAATATCACCAAAGATCCAACGGCCGCGAGCAAGTAGGGCAACTGAAAACGGCACACAACAAGTCGACATCAAGATGTCACTGACTGCCAGTGCTACCACGAATATATTTGGGATCGTGCGAAGTCTCTTGTTCCTGTATACAGCATAACAAACGAAGAGATTTCCGTTAAAAGCCGCCACGTTTATGACCACAAATAGAAAGGTCTCAATCCATATCAAGTGAATTGGTCTTGTGTAAAGCACATGAGAAAGCGAAGTGTTCATGTTTGATGACAATGAAGACTGATTCAAGGGACAACCAAATCAGTATCTTAATGTCAATAATTACTTTTAAGCTTTCAAAGCGCCAAAGCATTTCAAGTAAATAAATCTAGTTTTTTCTTTTGTAGAATTTGACTTTTGCTCCCAGGGTTATCTAAATCTCCGAATTCAACATTTACACTCCGGTCACGCACACACAGAAGATGTCGATTACAGCGCGGTATGGTTTATCTCAAAAATTTTATATTGGATTTGTATTTTCAGAAATTATACCTTAATTAACATAAAACGTCCTTGTTTCTACTGTTGTCCTTGTCAAAACAAGTTTCTACAGAAAGACATTTAACTGTCTGTTTACAGCCGGTATTGATACACTTAGCTATGCAGACAGGTGTAACACTCAACTACCGTTAGTGCCCACCTTTTTTTCGCGGCCTGTTCTAGGCAGTCTTGAAAGCATTTCCGCATCACGTATACACAGAATTTTAAGCTTTCTTGTTTCTCAAAAGAGCAGACCCGTTGTGTAGGATTAAAAGCACCGGGGGAATCGTAGGCTCAAACCAAACGAGAGAAAGTACTACAAAGCCATATTTACCATTTGTGTAGGATTACGCCATTACACCATTTGTGTAGGATTGTGTAGGATTTACCCTTTGTGCAGGCTTAAAAGCGCCGGGGAACTGTACCAAGTATGGATTGTGGAAGCTCAAACTGAACGAGAGAGAGTACTACAACGCCATATTTACCATTTTCGCCCTTAAAATTTTGATCATAGATCCCTCTACTGGCTAATGGTTTGATTCGTTATCAATATGATGATATGAAATTTTTTGTCTTAATTTTTCAAAACAATTTTGTCCGGGCTGGAAGCATTTACTTTTAAACTTGTTATTTTGAGAAAAATTTAAAAGGATCTACATTAACAGCTAGTTTATACATACTAAATATAGCTCGCTCGAATTTTCTCCTTTGAGGCGGCGTCACTGATTGGTCAGTACGTCAGCGGACTCGCAATGGAAAATGCGAAACGTCCCCGGCGGCGAAGAGCGAGGAGAAACGGATGTTTTCGCAGGCTAAAAATGCGTGGGAAATTTCCTGATTTGAATTGACCAATCAGAAGCCGGGATCTCTATTGAGATCTAAATGAGCCAGAAATCCCAATTGTCCACTACTCGTATACTTTCAACAGATAGCAATGGACAATGCAAGCTGGCCGGAAGCCAACAAAACGCAAATAAAACACCTTAACTTCTGTCTTGGTGTCTCGCACTGTTACCGCAAATGACCTGATAAACGCCCGGGGCGTCTATTTGATTTTAGGGGTCCAAGCGGGGGCGTTTAATATATAAGAAGCGTTAAATATATAAGAAGCGTATAAAAGGGAGAGACTTCTGTTCTCATAAATGTAAGAAAGTCGAAGAAGGAGAGGGACATTTTCACACCATTTCGCGCGCAACCTCTGTGTAGCCAATGAAATTAAGCCATAAAAAAAAAAAACGACGAAACTGTGTAGAATACTTTGACATAGCGTACGTTGAAAATTGAAAAGATCTGTTTCAGCCCCAGTGTCAATTCAGCCCTGCAGGCCAAAGTTTGATTCAGCCCTTCCTGGAGCCATTTGAACACAATTTAGGCCAAACAAGCTCTATCAAAAAGCTATTCCAGACCACGGTAGGGCCCATTTCAGCCCTAGCTAATTGGACTGTATTGGCCCTGATTTAAGGGAGCCAAATTAGACTCAAAAATAGGACTGTATTTTAGTCACCGAAACGGCTCTATTTTTAGGGCTAAAACAGTTCTGATTTAGAGTGTAATATGATCAATATAAAGGGTATTGCTACATACACGCTTTCAATAAAAGCGGTGTACGCAATGTTGGTTTGAAAAGTGTACAGGCACTTTGCTAGCTTTTCCTGGTTGGAATTCAAATCCGCCATTTCTAAAGAAAAACGGAGGCAGCGATCCGAGTAAAGCGGCACCCCACTCGACGGCAATGTATGTCATAGTTTTTCTTGTTTTAAATAATACAACATATCTTTTACCACGCAGAGGTACCTACTAATTTTTATTATTTCTATGCTGTAAAGAGACGCCAAGCCAAATGTAAAAACATCAAAGCCATGAAACCGGCAAAAATATTCACAAAAAATCCAACGGCCAAGAAAAAGTTTGACAACTGAAAACGGCACACAACAAGTCGACATCAAGACGTCACTGACTCTCCTTCTCTTTGGCATTACCCTTTGGTTTAAACGATAATATCTGCTGCGTACAATCGGCGTACGTNAGTGTAATATGATCAATATAAAGGGTATTGCTACATACACGCTTTCAATAAAAGCGGTGTACGCAATGTTGGTTTGAAAAGTGTACAGGCACTTTGCTAGCTTTTCCTGGTTGGAATTCAAATCCGCCATTTCTAAAGAAAAACGGAGGCAGCGATCCGAGTAAAGCGGCACCCCACTCGACGGCAATGTATGTCATAGTTTTTCTTGTTTTAAATAATACAACATATCTTTTACCACGCAGAGGTACCTACTAATTTTTATTATTTCTATGCTGTAAAGAGACGCCAAGCCAAATGTAAAAACATCAAAGCCATGAAACCGGCAAAAATATTCACAAAAAATCCAACGGCCAAGAAAAAGTTTGACAACTGAAAACGGCACACAACAAGTCGACATCAAGACGTCACTGACTCTCCTTCTCTTTGGCATTACCCTTTGGTTTAAACGATAATATCTGCTGCGTACAATCGGCGTACGTATGCGCAGTTGGCAAATGTTTCGTGATGACCTGGAACAACTTGCTCGCATGGAGGGTAAGGTGAAGAGGAGTGGTCCTAGGCATGAACCCACATGTTAGCTGAAAGGTGTCAGAGATCCCATCACCGAAAGCAAAACACTGTGACCTGTTAGACAGGTAAAATTGGAACCAAGCCAGTGCCCTCCCTGAAACTAATCTCGTTTTCCCCACAGTAAATAAAATTCCATTGTCTGCTTACAGCAGTAGTGCAGTGCATTAAAGACAGCTGAAACATGTACTCAGTTGTTAGAGGCCCATGCAATAAAGCGCCTATTATACAGAGAATTTTTCTATTGATAGCTTTCTATAGTCAATGTCCGCAAACATTCAGCTCATTTGTGATGTTTGCGTTTCGAATTCTCTAAAGTGGATTATTCCTAGGAGCGGGCCCTCTCTGTAAAACGGTCGTAGTTGACACAGACACAATGTTAAGGAGGATCAAAATGTGAACTGATGGATAGTGAAGAATCGATCGTTGTTTGTCCTCGCAGAATGTAGTCATTCTACATGCAGAGAGGATTTAAAGGATCTATGCAATCTATTCCAAATTTGACACTGCTGTTTTTTTTCTAGAGGACACGACTTTGTTCCTTCTTTGTTTATCTTTACTATACTAGTTTGTTTGTATGAAGAGTGGGGAGGGGAGGGAAAGTTCCTGTCAACAGCAGTTAACCAGAAATTTTCTCTCTTGCACCTGAATTCAGGGAAATTGTCATTGTCAAGAAAAATACCCAAATTAACGTTTTACCTACTAACCAAGAGAGAATGATCTCATTCTCTCTTGCTACTAAATAAATAAAAACATTGTCTAATCATCTTCTTTCATACATCTTCTTACAACTTCGAGAAAACTATCACCTAGCATGGAAAAAAAAGGTGCTCCTTCCCTCGCAGAGAAATAAAAACTTCGAACGTGTCTCTACGATATCTGCTGGTCCTAAAAATAGGAGGAAATAGGCACGATAGGGATAACTAATAAGCGGATTTCCATTACGCTGCCCCAGCATGCCAAATACCAACCCTATTGGCTAAAAGATGGCCTTGAAACAGTGACATAGGACAGCAGAAATTGCGACAAACGACACAAAGATGGGTTGAAACTGCGGCAGCGACGGAGAAACGCTCACATACGATAGTATTATACTACTACATGAGAAATTTCTGCAGTTTGATTGGCTTAGAGTAGTGGTATTCAGCTTAATTTGAAATACCTACATGTGAAAATTACAAACCTTACGCGGGTAGTAGTATAAACAAATAATAGCATTATTTGTACGTGATATTTGGCATAAATACCACTCGTGATATTTCAAGATTGTCACAAATTTCACTCACCTAAAGGCTCGTGTAATTACGTATAACAATTTCGAAATATCACTCGTGGTATTTATGCCAAATATCACTACAAATCATGCTATTACTTACACAAATACCGACAGTGACATGGCTTTCTCCTCAATACGCGAAAATTCTGACTAGAGACATACGTGACGTCCCTCAGAGGACCTCCTTAAACTGTGTTGACAATTTACGGTAGATATGCCCTCCCATTTTTTTTCGGACATATTTTTCATATTTTTTGTCAAAATTTATGAAAATAATTCTATTGAAAAACTTATTCTTTAGGGAAGTAGGTTACTGTACACACATCGCTCTTTTTCTTCGTATCGTATGTTTTATGACAAGCATATGTGCTAAAAAAATCATCACACTTTCTTGACCTTTCACTTATCATTGTACTTACATCAGTGTCATGCTGTCTCCCTTAAGAAAACGAAACAATTTCCTTGTTTTGACAACGTGATCGGTCTAAAAAAAAAAAACTGGCCACTATTCAAGATATTAGATATNAAATACCACTCGTGATATTTCAAAATTGTGTCAAATTTCACTCGCCTAACGGCTCGTGAAATTATGTATAACAATTTTGAAATATCACTTGTGGTATTTATGCCAAATATCACTACAAATCATGCTATTAGCTATACAAAACCGACAGTGACATGGCTTTCTCCTCAATACGCGAAAAGACAGGTTTTGAAATTCTCACTAGAGACATACGTGACGTCCCTCAGAGGACCTCCTTAAGGTGTGTTGACAATTTACGGCACATATGCCCTCCCATTTTTTTTTCGGACATATTTTGCATATTTTTTGTCAAAATTTATGAAAATAATTCTATAGAAAAACTTATTCTTTAAGGAAGTAGGTTACTGTTCACACATCGCTCTTTTTCTTCGTATCGTATGTTTTATGACAAGCATATAGGCTAAAAAAATCACACTTTCTTGACCTTTCATTTATCATTGTACTTACATCGGTGTCATGCTGTCTCCCTTAAGAAAACGAAACAATTTCCTTGTTTTGACAAGGTGATTGGTCTAAAAAAAAAAACTGGCCATTATTCAGGATTGCGTATTGGACGTTCAAACAAGTCAGGCTCGACCACACTCTCTTACCCAGAGCATAATTTTCTCAGTTCAGCTAGTTTGAGAAACTTTTCAGTTACAACGATGGGCGGTTGGAACTTGGCAAATTGCATCAACTTATTTGTTCTCACAGTTATCTTTGTTTCAGGAGAAAAAGTGGCTAAGCATAACAGCTGCAAGAAGGTCTTAGGGCAAGAAGCAAGTTCTCTTACTGTTGCGCAAATAAGCAATGTCTCGTCGAAGGCACGTTATGAAGTCTGCGCCGATATTTTCGGCGTAATTTTCTATTGTCCAGGGGATGAAATATGCTGCACACCAGGGGATCCATTTAGCAAATGTTGCCCGGCAGACTATCCGCTTTGCTTACCCGTAGAAAACCCAGAGAAATGCTGCCCAGTAGGATATCCAAAACTTTGTGGGTCATACTGTTGCGAGGTAGGCAGCTTCTGCTGCAACGAGAAAATCTGCTGTGAAAATGAAGGCGCTTGCTGCGGGGCCCAGTGTTGCGAGGATGGTGAATTTTGCTGCAATGGCCTAAGCTGTTGTGATAGTGGAGACAGCTGTTGTGGGGTTAAGTGTTGCGATGTTGGCGAATTTTGCTGCAATGGCATAAACTGTTGTGATAGTGTAGGTGCTTGTTGTGGTGCTCAGTGCTGCGACGTTGGCGAATTTTGCTGCAATGGCATAAGCTGTTGTGATAGTGTAGACGCCTGTTGTGGGGCTCAGTGCTGCCCAGAAGATGCCCCTTGCTGTAAGCAGGATGAATCCTCAGCATGCTGCGACAAAGTTACCATGGGCTGTTGTGACGGATACGGATGTGTTCCTCCCTGCCCATCCCAGTTTGATGCCATAGGTTGCCAACTGTCAAGCCTGTCCCTTGACGATAAACTGTTGGAAGCACCATACGGATTGCCAACAAACGTTTATCGACTACTGCGCCCTGACGAGAATCCTGATGGAATTGTTGCAAAAAATCCGGGTGCCCAGAAAAGTGTTCTGTCTCATGTTAACTGCGGAAGTCGCCCGAAATACGCTTCGCAGTTTATATCAACATCAGCATCCTTAGACGTGGCAAAGGACTACAAAAAAAAAAGGCGAGGAAAAAGGTATAACCGGATTGAGAATTTGTGAGTTTGAAGTAGATAAATTGCCCCAGACTTGCCAGATCGTGGACCTTACAACCGAGGAGAACCGAGACAAGTACCTGGGAAACGCTGTGTGCAAAGCCTATGCCAAGGCATCGGCGGAGGTCCTTCTTCAATGCGGCGTGCCAATTCCATGTACGGTCATTGATCCCCCGAACCGAGCGTGAGACGAAGAAGTTTGCAGATACTCGACACAAACTGTAGGTGGAACATTTCATCTTTGTTCACTTAAATTAAAAACCTTTTGTTGTTTACGTCGAGTTATTGTACTGGAAAGGGAAGGAGATAGTGGAGGCTTCCTTTGTTGAAGTTGCAGATTTCTTATCCATAAATCTAGAATTTGTTTTCGAAAGAAAGTTTCAGTCTTGAATAAAGAAAAGTAACAACAGTATTTTTTTTCGAATTAACTAAGCCAATGTTAATCTCAGTTATTAGTCCAAACAGGAAAAAAATGCTTAAAATACTCGTTTTAGTCACGAACAGATAAGCGGAAGTTAGTATGGCTTGTCTTAGTTTTCTCAAGAGTGTACCAATGGTTTCTTAGTATTTTTCTCGACACAATCGAAGGACTTGAAGCTTGGTGCATTTGCTACTTTTGTTATTATTTTTTTTTTGATGATGTTATTTTTTGGCAAAGCGTCTATGTTGTTTATACATACTCTTTCAGTTGTAATGGCAAAAATAACTTCCACTTTCATGTAGTAAATATGTCAGAATACTTAAAGCTTCGTGACTTTAACCCTGATTTATTAGATATAGCTATAGTAAAAAGCTATGTAAGTTCAATGAAACAGGAATATATCTTTTACTGCAAAACACCCTTAAACATTCTCAAAAACTTGAATTTTATAGGTCTTTAAAACCGATCATACCTCCTTTAGTTACTTAGACTTAACAACAGGAACAGCTGGGAGAAGGGCTATAGTAAAACTACAAATAAGCAATCACAAACTAATGATAGAAATAGGCATATAAAATCAAACTACAAAGGTTAATAGGCATTGCCCTATTTGTGGATGCAATGTAATAGAAGAGGAAGTTCACTTTCTTTTTCAATGTTCTACATATACCCTATGATTAGTAATAAATTTTACTACAAAGTCAAGACTCGAATTCCAAATATTACCCAGTTACCTATAAACGGTTTGATCAATGAACTTAAAAAAAAAAAACTGGCCACTATTCAAGATATTAGATATGCGTATTGGACGTTCAAGCAAGTCAGGCTCCACCACACTCTCTTACCCAGAGCATAATTTTCTCAGTTCAGCTAGTTTGAGTAACAAACTTGTCAGTTACAGCGATGGCCGGTTGGAAGGCAAATTGCATCAACTTATTTGTTCTCGCAGTTATCTTTGTTTCAGGAGAAAAAGTGGCTAAGCATAACAGCTGCAAGAAGGTCTTGGGGCAAGAAGCAAGTTCTCTTACTGTTGCGCAAATAAGCAATGTCTCGTCGAAGGTACGTTTCGAAATCTGCGCCGATGAGGGCGGCGTAATATACTATTGTCCAGGTGATGAAATATGTTGCACACCAGGGGATCCATTAAGTAAATGTTGCCCAGCAGAAAAACCGCTTTGCTTACCCGTGGAAAACCCAGAAAGATGCTGCCCAGTAGGATATCCAATACTTTGTGGGTTATACTGTTGCGAGGAAGGCAGCTTCTGCTGCAACGAGAAAACCTGCTGTGAAAATGAAGGCGCTTGCTGCGGGGCCCAGTGTTGTGAGGATGGTGAATTTTGCTGCAGTGGCGTAAGCTGTTGTGATAGTGGAGACAGCTGTTGTGGGGTTAAGTGTTGCGATGTTGGCGAATTTTGCTGCAATGGCATAAACTGTTGTGATAGTGTAGATGCCTGTTGTGGGGCTCAGTGCTGCCCAGAAGATGCCCCTTGCTGTAAGCAGGATGAATCCTCAGCATGCTGCGACAAAGTTACCATGGGCTGTTGTGACGGATACGGGTGTGTTACTCCATGCCCATCCCAGTTTGATGCCATAGGATGCCAACTGTCAAGCCTGTCCCTTGATGATAAACTGTTGGAAGCACCATACGGATTGCCAACGAACGTTTATCGACTACTGCGCCCTAACGAGAATCCTGATGGAATTGTTGCAAAAAATCCGGGTGCCCAGAAAAGTGTTCTGTCTCATGTTAACTGCGGAAGTCGCCCGAAATACGCTTCGCAGTTTATATCAACATCAGCATCCTTAGACGTGGCAAAGGACTACAAAAAAAAAAGGCGAGGAAAAAGGTATAACCGGATTGAGAATTTGTGAGTTTGAAGTAGATAAATTGCCCCAGACTTGCCAGATCGTGGACCTTACAACCGAGGAGAACCGAGACAAGTACCTGGGAAACGCTGTGTGCAAAGCCTATGCCAAGGCATCGGCGGAGGTCCTTCTTCAATGCGGTGTGCCAATTCCATGTACGGTCATTGATCCCCCGAACCGAGCGTGAGACGAAGAAGTTTGCAGATACTCGACACAAACTGTAGGTGGAACATTTCATCTTTGTTCACTTAAATTAAAAACCTTTTGTTGTTTACGTCGAGTTATTGTACTGGAAAGGGAAGGAGATAGTGGAGGCTTCCTTTGTTGAAGTTGCAGATTTCTTATCCATAAATCTAGAATTTGTTTTCGAAAGAAAGTTTCAGTCTTGAATAAAGAAAAGTAACAACAGTATTTTTTTTCGAATTAACTAAGCCAATGTTAATCTCAGTTATTAGTCCAAACAGGAAAAAAATGCTTAAAATACTCGTTTTAGTCACGAACAGATAAGCGGAAGTTAGTATGGCTTGTCTTAGTTTTCTCAAGAGTGTACCAATGGTTTCTTAGTATTTTTCTCGACACAATCGAAGGACTTGAAGCTTGGTGCATTTGCTACTTTTGTTATTATTTTTTTTTTGATGATGTTATTTTTTGGCAAAGCGTCTATGTTGTTTATACATACTCTTTCAGTTGTAATGGCAAAAATAACTTCCACTTTCATGTAATAAATATGTCAGAATACTTAAAGCTTCGTGACTTTAACCCTGATTTATTAGATATAGCTATAGTAAAAAGCTATGTAAGTTCAATGAAACAGGAATATATCTTTTACTGCAAAACACCCTTAAACATTCTCAAAAACTTGAATTTTATAGGTCTTTAAAACCGATCATACCTCCTTTAGTTACTTAGACTTAACAACAGGAACAGCTGGGAGAAGGGCTATAGTAAAACTACAAATAAGCAATCACAAACTAATGATAGAAATAGGCATATAAAATCAAACTACAAAGGTTAATAGGCATTGCCCTATTTGTGGATGCAATGTAATAGAAGAGGAAGTTCACTTTCTTTTTCAATGTTCTACATATACCCTATGATTAGTAATAAATTTTACTACAAAGTCAAGACTCGAATTCCAAATATTACCCAGTTACCTATAAACGGTTTGATCAATGAACTAATGAACTCTTCTAATTACTTTATCAATATACAATTCATAAAATGTATTTCAGCTTGTTTTGATGTTCGTGACAAATTATTATCAAAGTAACGTAATTGCCCTGTGTTGTGATTTTGATTCCTAAACATAGCTTTTGCAATACTGTACGTGCTTGTATAGTCAGGCAAATAAAGCTCGTTGTTGTTGTTCAGCTCCTTGTTTGAACAATAATTATAATTACATAAAGTAAATAACGAGAGATTTTTAATTACTAATGTGTGAGCCGAATTATTTATGTGCGGCAAACATGGTATAGTCGCAGACTTTACCGGGGGGGGAGTACTTTAGGAATTTCTGGGTGGGGATGTGCAGCTGGGACCCTGGAACCCTTAGCCTATACCAGAGCTAGTTCAGCTGAATTTTGCTACCCTATACTAGAGTAAACTCCCCAAATCTCCCCTATCCTAAAGTAGCTGTTTCCCTAGTCTAGATAAAACCTTCAACCAACTGATCAGTTTCCTGAAAAATGATACCCTATACTAGAGTAAACTGCTTGAAAACTATACCCTTCACAGCGGCACATACCTATATAGCCCATATATGGCAGTCCCCCTCCCCCCCGGAGACTTTACGCGCTTTCAAATTTCCTTACAGACACAAACTTTATTTGTGGACTTTCTAGACTTTGTACAAGGCGAACTGATGTGTAGTAAGTGAAACAAGTGAAACGAAGCGAAACGAAGCGGTACTGAAAACAAGGTTAAGATAAAATAACTACCGGATTAAGTGAAATCAATACGGCAAAGGCCGAAAGAAACAAGCAAGATACTTACAAGACGATAGCGAGAAAAGACGAAACACCGGGGCGAGCTAAACAAACTGCATGTGGGCAGAACCGAGGGCCACGAAGAACTGACACCAAAATATTAAAACAGAAGCTAGACATACTATATGCAGAGCGGAAACTAACACGGAGAACAAAGGTACCCGAACAATGAGCGGCTAATGAACTAGAAAACTACACCGAAGGAGTGAACACGAAAATAACTAAAAGCGAGGCGAACATACAAATACTTTAGACAAAGCACGAGATTCCTGGCGCTAACCCATGGATCGTGCCTGTTTCTCAGGATGGTTACTGACGAAATACTTTCCTTAGAATAACTTTACCCTCTCTTCAGAAACGCCAGTTAGTTGCAGCATATATCAAGGTGGTTGATAGCGCTACTCAAATAGAGCAAGAACCTGTATGTAAAGAGCACCTTTCGAGGTAAAGTGGGTACCCTGTGTGTAGCAGCGATGATGCAAACTGGAAGCCAGCCAAACGCCACACCAACCATTACTGTCCCTAAAGTCCTAGCAACTCTCCCTTCTTCACGGAAATTCGAAAGGAAAACCACCCATCACGTCTTGTGAAAATAGTAAATCACGCATCACGCTGCTATGCCCATTCACGCCCCACGCGGATAATTTGGGCCAGATCACGCACCACGCTGATAATTTGGGTCCCATCACGCGTAAAGGAAATCAAGACGTCACTCACTGCCATTGCTACAACAAGAAAATATGTTTGAAATTATGCTAAGTCTCTTGTTTCTGTACTTAGCATAACAAATTTCCATTGAAGGCTACCACGTTTATTTCCGCAAACAGAAACGTTTCAATCCATATCAATAATTTGGGTTAGTATAAAGCGCATGACTAAGAAAGCGAAATCTTCAAGTGAAAGTTTGATGATACGGAAAGACTTTGATACAAAATAATGAAAATCGATATCCTAACGTCAACAGCTACTTTCAAGCCTTTACAACCCGGAAGTGTTCCAAAGATGTAAGTCTAGTTTGCTCTTTGGAGAATATCTTTTTAGCTCGCTGCGTTATTCAAGTCTTTGAATGATTTAAATATACTGTCAAGAATGACGAGGATTTCGATAACAACGCAGTTTGTCACTCCTTATAGCTCATACATTTTATATTGGATTGGCATCCTTTGAAGTTATACATGAATTAAATATGACCTTTCTTATTCGACTTTTATCTCAAGGACTGTGTATAGTGTGCATGTTCAAACAAGAAATACGTAAGAAGGGCAACCACGGTCTTTTATCCGAGGTTGAAGGATCGTGTTTGCGTGTCCTGTCAGTCTGTCTGCAGATTGCCCTAGGTAAGGGAATCCAAGAGAGTCTTGGATTCTTGATTTTAAGCAGTGGATTTTGGATTCCAGGTTCTAGATAGCGGGATTCAGTGGAACTTGGATTTGCGGAGTGGTCGTTAGTGCGATTCCGGATTCTAAAGGTCAGGATTCTGCATTCCACAAGCAAACTTTTTCCAGATTCCGCAATATTTTTCACTTGCATGGGGCGATGCAGATCGGTCTCACGTTCAAACATGACAGGCACAAGACAATCTGGCGACCACCATCGTTTATCAGTTTTCTCAGTTCAGTTAGGTTGAGTGCCAAACGCAAACGTACATGCAAAAATGACCTGCTGGAAGGCAAACTACGTCAATTTATTTGTTCTCGCAGCAGTCTTGTTTGTTTCAAGCGAAAAGGTGCCTAAGTACCCCAGCTACAAGAAGGTCTTGGGGCAGGTAGCAAATTCTCTCGCTGTTCCGCAAATAAGAAATGTCTCGTCGAAGACTCATTTTGAAGTCTGTGCTGATGAGGGAGAAGAGATATTCTACTGTCCTCTGGATGAAATATGCTGCACGCCAGGGGATCCAGCAAGTAGATGTTGCCCGGCAGAGTATCCACTTTGCTTACCCAGGGGAAACCCAGAAAAATGCTGCCCAGTAGGATACCCAACGTTATGTGGCCTATATTGTTGCAAGGAAGGCAGCTTTTGCTGTAATGGGATGGACTGTTGTGATAGTATAGGCGCTTGTTGTGGGGCTCGGTGTTGCGAAAATGGTGAATTTTGCTGCAATGGCATAAGCTGTTGTGATAGTGTAGGTGCTTGTTGTGGGGTTCAGTGTTGCGAGTTTGGCGAATTTTGCTGCAATGGCATAAGCTGTTGTGATAGTGTAGACGCCTGTTGTGGGGCTCAGTGCTGCCCAGAAGATGCCTCTTGCTGTAAGCAGGATGGATCCTCAGCATGCTGCGACAAAGTTACCATGGGCTGTTGTGACGGATACGGATGTGTTCATCCTTGCCCATCCCAGTTTGATGCCTTAGGTTGCCAACTGTCAAGCCCGTTTCTTGATAATAACCATTTGGATACACTATATACATCGACAAAAAACGTTTATCGAATACTGCGCCCAGACGAAAATCCTGATGGAATTGTCTCAAGAAATCCAGTTGCCGAGAAAAGTGTTCTCTCGCATGTTAATTGCGGAAGTCGGTCAAATTACGCCTCGCAGTTTATATCAACATCAGCATCCTTAGACGTGGCCAAGGACTACAAAGAAAAAGGTGAGAAAAAAGGTCTAACTGGATTGAGAATTTGTGAATTTCAAGTGGATAAACTGCCCCAGCCTTGCCGGATGGTGGACCTTACAACGGAGAAGAACCGAGACAAGTACCTGGGAAACGCTCTGAGCAAAACCTATGCCAAGGTATCGTCGGAGATTCTTCTCCAATGTGATGTGCCACTTCCCTGTACGGTTATTGATCCCCCAACCGAGCGTGAGACGAAGAAGTTTGCAGATACTCCATTTGAACTTTAGATGGAACATTTCATCGATGTTCAGGAAAATTTTAAGCCTTGAATTGTTATGACGAGTTAGTGCACTGATTTCAAGATCAAAAGGGAAGGGGATAATTTTATAAATAATAGAGGCCTCTTGTGATAAAGTTCCAGGTTTTTCATACATCAGTCTAGAATTTGAGCTGGAAATAAAAGCTTTCTGCGCGAAAGGAAAACTAACAAATTGAATTTATTTGCATTTAACTAATGTTACTCTCAATTAATCGTCTTAACTTTTAAATTAAAAAAAAATCCCTGAAATATTCGTTTTAGTTACAAACAGGTAACAGGAAGTTGATTTTACCTGAATTAATTTTTCTAAGAGCTTGCCAAGGGACTTTGAATCTGTCACCTGACACATTGGAAGGAATTTGGAGCTTGGCGGCTTTGCTACCTTCGTAGACGTTGCGAATTGTGAATCAATTACCCCGGATCTTAATAAGCTTACATTTGAATTATCATTAAAACTATGGTTCTAAACAAAGTACAATGTCATTTCTCGCGTCATTCAAGAAGAAACACATTTCCCATTTGCCGTACTATAAAATCTATGTTGCCAAAGTCTGCTTTACTATACTCAGATCACGTTAATGTATATTCTGCTAGGGACTCACATTATGTTGCCCGGTTTCCGGCCAAATAAACGTCAATTTTCGGAAAATATCTGTTCGGAAGACGATTTGAGATCTAGAATTTTCGGAACATTTGTTCTAAAATTTCTTGCTTGCCTGCCTCTCCTAGGATTTTTGAACATCTAAAAAAAGGAATAATTGCCCATTTTTAACGGATTTTTACCCTAAAAAGGTCACCTAGAATTTTCGGGAGCCTTTTTTTCTGGCTGAAATTTTCGAAAAGGTAAGTTTTGATCCCTATAATTTTCGGATCACTAGACTTTCAGCTAGGAAATCCGAACAGATGAAAATTTTTAGGGGATAAAAATATGCCTATATCTACCGTTTAAATACAAAAATACATTCAACAATGCTATGTTTAGGTGGTTTTGAACCATATTCTCGTTGGGTGCCCCTTAAATAATGGCCCTAGGGTTTTCGTTGGACTTTTTTAGATGTCGTGAACCTAATTATTCTGAGAAAAAAGAACGAGCGGCTAGTTCAACTTGAAATTGATGAGCTTGGACTGGCGATAAAGTCAATAGACTCCTCAGGACGAAGAATGTTATACACAGTACATGTTGAATTTTAATACTGAAGTGTCTTTTTTTCTTTGTCTTCAAGTTATTTACTTTTGGATTCTTTTCCTGCTTTGTCTTAAAAGCAATTATCATTCACGTACTTTCGACAAACTGTCTTTTTGTTTATACATCTTCAGCTTTTTGTTATTAATCAGTAAACTTTGATTACACACATCTCTTGAATAAATTAAAAGATCTTGAACCAATTTTATGTGAGAGAGGATTTACATACCAGCTGCGGCGAACATGGATCCTCCCCACATTTAGGATGATTTCTGACAAAATACTTTCCTTAGAATAACTTTACTTTCTCTCCTGAAATGCCTGTTAGTTGCACCGTATATGAATGGGTTGATAGTGCTGCTGAAATAGATCAAGAATCCGTATGTAAGATACACCTGTCGAGGCAAAGTGGGTACCCTGTGCGCAGCGTCAACATAATCGATGATGCAAACTGGAAGCCAGCAAAACGCAAAACCAACCATTACCGCTCCTAACGTCTTAGTAACTCTCGCTTCTCCTATATTTACTCTTAACGTATGGAGGTTGGTCTTGGCTGAAAAGATTCGATTTGTTGACGAAACTGTGTAAAATACTTTGACATAGCAGATTATTATGAATACAAAGGGTGTTGCCACATACACGGTTTCAATAAAAGTGGTGTACACAATGTTGGTTTGAAAAGTGTACAGGCACAATGCTTTTCCTGGTTGGAATTCAAATCCGCCATTTTCAAAGAAAAATGGAGGCACCGATCCCAATAAAGCCGCACCCCACACGACGGCAATGTATGTCATTGTCTTTCTTGTTTTGAATAACACTACGTATTTCTCTGGTTTTACCACGCAGAAATATCTACTAATTGCGATTATCCCCATGGTGTGAAGAGACGCCAGGCCAAATGTAAAAACTCCAAAACCATGAAACTGGCAAAAACGTTCACCAAAAATCCAATGGCCGCGAGCAAGTGCGACAACTGAAAACGGCACACAAAAAGTCGACATCAAGATATCACTCGCTGCCAGTGCTACAACAAATATATTTGGAATTGTACGAAGCCTTCTGTTTCTGTACACAGCATAACAAACGAATAGATTTCCGTTTAAAGCTGCCACGTTCATCACCGAAAAAAGAAACGTTTCAATCCATATCAAGTGGGTTGGTCTTGCATGAAGCGCAAGAGAAAGCGAAGTCTTCATGTTAAAGTCAAAATAATTAAACGGATCTGTTAATGTCAACACTAACGTTCCAACTTTTAAATGCGTAAGTGTTCCAAATAAGTAAATTTAGTTTGCTCTATGAAAATTCATTTTTAGCTCGCTGTTTTGATCAAGTCTTGGAATCAAATATGGAAAGTCCAGAAAATCGACGTTTTCGATGACAGCGCAGTATGTCAGGCTGTCTTTGCTTGTTCAAATATTTTATATCCGATTCGCATCCTTTGAAGTCGTACCTAAGGAAATATAAAACCTTTCTTATTTGTCAATCCGTTTATCTCTTTTAACGTAAGTTTCATATTCCCTAAAGTTAATGACATTTCACTGAGCTGTCTGATCTCAGTTGCAGATGCAACACACAGTTGTTAGTGGCTTTGGCCTTAGTCTGCTACACAGCCGTTTTTAGGATCGTCACGCAGCGCTCCTCCCCACCTTTTGTGGGGAGGAGCGTTGCGTGACGACACTGAAAACGGCTGTGTAGCAGACTACTTTGGCCTAGACCAAACGTCAAACTTTTCATAAGACAAACCAAAAGTAATGAGTTAACAATAGCTGATCCACGGAGGTTACCGCCCCCCCCCCCCCCCTCCCTTTTTATCAATAGCGATGCATGTTTGAGCCGGCGCAAACAATGCACGCTGAATAGGACCTGCACTATACGTCATTAGCGTTTGCATAAGGAGACACACTAAACAACATAAGAAAGCAAAATCACGGGCTTTTTTGGGATGGCCCGGCGGCCCCCCCCCCCACTTTTGGGGGGGGGGGGGGTTGGGGGAGGAACTGAAAACGGGTGTTTAGCAAACTTCTTTTGGCCAAGACAAAACGCCAAATTTTTATAAAGAAAACCAAAAGTAAAGAGTTAAAAAAAGGCTGTCCCCGGGGGGTTCCCCCCCCCCCCCCCCCCATACTTTTTGACCAAACTGAGGCGTTTTGTAGACCTGACCAAACAGACGACCTTAACTTACAACTTCATTTAGGTCGACCCAGTTAGAGTTTGGTTCGTATCATGAAAAGTTCGACTTTTGGCCTACGCCTACTCTCGGCAGTTCAGTCGGTATGGCGCTCTACTATAGAGCGAAAGGTAAGTTTTTAGCCTAAGAAAACATCCGACATTTCGCCATGGTGGCTTCGATAGGGACCGGCCGAGCAATACTCAGCGTCTTAAAATAACTGAGAAATGAAAGTACTAGCTAAGCCTACGGCTAGACCTTCGCGTTGCTCGGATGACCATGTAAAATGGAGGTCCCGATCCCGTCTCTATTAACTAGCAGTAACCAACGGTTAGGTAGTGTGCGCGAACATGTGCGTTTACCTTACGGTGCGATTGATGTTGAGGACCGCTTTCACAATTGTCTACGTGAATAAAGAGTGGAAGATGAATTGAACAACACGGTAAACAAGACCTTTATTGAATTCAACTATTTTATTCACATTATTGCTTAGTTATAGGTAGACGATGCGGCGACGATGAGGAGCGACTGAGGGAGACGGCTGCATTCACTGAGATAATAGAGAGATTACGATTCACGTTTACGCCAAACGGCAGACGTGAATTTGTACCACGTGACCTAGTTTTCCCCTTATTTTTGCTTATTTTTTATTGCTTCTAAGCAAAAAGAAGTAGTTTTATGCCAGTTGTAACCACAGGAATCGTTCGGGGCTGTTTTTATCTGCTTATTTTGTATTCTAAGAAATTCTCAACTTGAGCTTGACGTTTGCCGTCTGCGATAAACGTGAATCTTAATCTCCCTAATGCGTGACAACGCTCATCGTGAAATGAACAGTAATAACCACACGAACTCAAGGCACGAACTCTTATTACTCAACAATTACGTTCGGTATTTGGTGACCAAAGGTCATTGAGATGCAACAGTGAATCATGAAAAAGCTTAGTTTAAAGCTTATCGAGTGTCAGATAAACATACTAGAAAGCACATAAAATATAAAATAACTGAAGTGTAACCTGGATAAGCTTAACTTACATGGATTTATAGGCTATGAAATCACTTATCTTACCAAGGCTCGTCCCACACTAAGCTGAGATCAAGCTCTGCTCCTGGTAAATAAATTTTCAGCAACAAGGCGAATCCAAAGATCTTGCATTTAATGCAATACGTGCATACCTGAAATACGCTGACAACGTGTTTTCAAAACAAACAAATATTGTTGCATGTCCTTGGGAAGATTACTGCTCTTTCTCGACTTTCGTCTTGTCATTGTTCGCCAACGTCACAGCATGCAACGAAAAATGCAGCATCAGCACCTTGGAAAACGCTGATGGTGCAATCATGTTTTCGTGTTGACTTTTCACGAGAGCACGGACCTTGCGCTCAACACCTGGGCCCTCTCGGCCAGTTTGCGGCCACTTACCGTGCACTAGTTGGAAGAACAAAAGCATCCCAAGAATGTGGACAGATTTTGCCAAAACCCCCGCTACACACTAAGAAAGTGTCGCCAAGAATAGTCTGGGCTCCTCTTTTCGCCCGTAAAAAGAAGATGTAAACCCTCAATTGGTACTTTGCTGCTAATCCATTGACTCTCAAATAAAGTGCATTATTCCTATAATTTTCATTTTTTATCGTTTGCTTTCTATACACATTTACAATGTTCCCAATCTAATTCTCTAAAGCGAAAAATTTCAAAGAGAGGACCTTGCATGGTAGATGACAAACGCAATCTGAAAGGAGATTGGCGTAACCTGAGAATGGATAGTGGTAGGCTCTAACGAGGCCAACTGAGTTAAATTTCCAAAGATGCTCTCGAAGGCGATATTTTATTTGTCATATTAACTTTTCAAAGTTTGATAATTAACTAACATGCTTTTGAATGAAAAATGAAAAACGCTAATTTTAAACTGAATCTATATTTGTCTAAACTTGCATTCTAGTTGGGATCGTCACTACATAGCAAATAAGTTACGGCTCTAAATAATCATTTTCCGCTCGTTTCACGATGCTGGTGGCCGAGATAGCTTGAAATAGAGAGTTAAATATTTTACTTCTGATAGTGGAATTATTAATGGGGGCATTAACAGTAAATGACAACGTAAAGAAATCAAACTGGCGCCTAAGAATTAGTTCAGGTGACAATTATTATCTTGACACTTACAACAGGCTATATCTAGTCTAGTACCGGTATACAACTGAAAGGCGTATCATCAATTTCCCTTAAATTACCGGCATAACTCTAAGACAAAACTATGAAATTCACGGCAATTATTTCTAATAGAAGGATAATTTTTGATCTGACACACCCAAAAAGACACCAAATTTGGTGGACTTTTGAAAAACAACCGAAAATAAAAATTAACTAGGATTACTCAAGATGATGTCATCTACAGTCTCAAAAGTCATGTGTCTATGTAATTAACTTTGACAGCGCGAAGGTTAAGGTATATCTTTATCTTTATTGTCCCCGCCTTAAATAGCGACTGACACTAAATTTGTAGTTGGTTGTGAGGTCTGTCCTCTCCGGCTTTTAAGAGGTTCGGTTCCAGAAACGTTTTCGGACATCCCCGTGCACTGGCCCCTATGCAAGCAAAGCACCTTTTTCAAAATAATCCGATACTCTCGCCGGAAGTGCTTATTCGTAGCTCCATAAATGAAGGGGTTTATAGTGCTACTCAAATATACCAAAAACCCGTATGTCAGATACAACTGTCGAGGCAAAGTGGGCTCCCTACGTGCGGCGTCAATATAATCGATGATGCAAACTGGAAGCCAGCAACACGCGAAACCAGCCATAACAGCTGCTAAAGTCTTGGTAACTTTTGCTTCCTCCACGTTTGCTCTTAGTTGCTGGGGGTTGTTTTCATGGGAGAAAACCTGATTTGATCGTGAAACAGTGAAGAATACTTTAGCATAGCAAATGGTGATGAGAGTTAAAGGCGTTGCTACGTACACGCATTCTATGAACGCTGTGTACGCGATGTTGGTTTGAAAAGTGTACAGGCACATTGCTTTTCCAGGCTGGAACTCAAATCCGCCATTTTCAAAGAAAAACGGAGGCACAGATCCGATTAAAGCAGCACTCCAAACAACAGCAATATATGCCAAAGTCTGTCGAGTCTTAAAGATCACAATGTATTTTTCTGGTTTGACTACGCAGAAGTATCTACTAAGTGCGATTATCCCCATGGTGTAAAGAGAAGCCAGACCAAATGTAAAAACACCAAAGCCATGAAATCGGCAGAAATCTTGACCAAAAATCCACCTGCCGCGGACTAGCGTGGCAACTGAGAAAGGCATACAACAAGTAGACATCAAAATATCGCTCACCGCCAGTGCTACAACAAACATATTTGCAAGCGTTCGAAGTCTGTGATTTCTATACACAGCGTAACAAACTGAAAGGTTTCCAAAGAAGGCCCCTACGTTAATAACAGCGAACAATACTGTTTCTGACCTGACCAGATGCTTGTCTCGAGCGGAAAGTTCTAAAGAGAGTTTTGCCTCCATTTTGTTCGTTATCCCCTTCACTGACAATACTCAAAAAAAGATTTTGAGATAAGCAAAACTTAAGTGTACGATACACGGTCAAAAAATTGTAAATTCATGAGGTAAACAAACGCCCGATTTGAGTTTGATGTTTTGAAATGTTCATTAGTCTGTTTTGGCAGGTGTCATCCCAAAACACATCTCCATCGCATGATACTCGTTTTGAGCAAACATCTGACCCTTCGTTACTCTTTTATAACATCCCCTGATGAATTTATGAATACAGGCGGTAATTACACTGGTATCTCATTTATGATATCGTTTGTGTAATCAGCAAAAATATCGCCAATTAGTAAAATCCAACTAGTGGTCTATTATCAATGCTGCGTTCTGATTGGTTAAGCTACCACTAGGCTCTATGTTTGTTAAATATACCAGGTGTCAGATAAATTTATTTCCTAGAGCAGATCACGGTATAATTTCTCCTCAGTTAGAGTTATAACACGAAGGAAACTAGTTACCGGTATAAAAAGATGCAATTATTTCTTTTCAGTCAAAATAGCTNAATTACACTGGTATCTCATTTATGATATCGTTTGTGTAATCAGCAAAAATATCGCCAATTAGTAAAATCCAACTAGTGGTCTATTATCAATGCTGCGTTCTGATTGGTTAAGCTACCACTAGGCTCTATGTTTGTTAAATATACCAGGTGTCAGATAAATTTATTTCCTAGAGCAGATCACGGTATAATTTCTCCTCAGTTAGAGTTATAACACGAAGGAAACTAGTTACCGGTATAAAAAGATGCAATTATTTCTTTTCAGTCAAAATAGCTAATGATCACCAGTTGTTGCTGCAAATCCGTGTGCCGCAAATCTTCCGTCAGTTCAATTAGGCTGACATCATCCAGATCATTTTATAAGCCCATGTCAGGAACGCTAGTTATAATGAAAGGGTAAAGTCAGCGTTATATCTATAAACATTTAACAATCATCGGAAAATTTCATTTCATTTTCGCTTAGTTACTGAGACAATTAATAGTTTTGTTCTCGAGATATACTGACTTCAAAAGTTGCGGGGTAAGAAGCATCAAAATAAAATCAGGTTCACCTAGTTTTGACGCTCAGTTGAGAGATACTATCCTTTGAGTTCTAGTTCGTTTGACGTGGTAGGAAATCAACATGCAAAACATGCAGAAAGTTAAACAACAAAGTAAGGGTTTTAAGGGTAATGTCTAAACAACCGGAAAAGATTTCCCATTATGATCCTTAGGCGTTAAATAGTAGCAGTTCTCTATTTACCTATATTTAGTGGTTTCTCATTTGTCCAGTTACGAAATAACGTTTCTGTTGTACCTATTAGTACGAACGATATTGACATTTTTATCTTGCATTTCATGGCTTGTTCTAGTTTGTCTCATATGATCAGTTGATTTTCAAATTTATTCCATTTTTACCACCAACCAATTTGAGACATATTTGTTTTGCCATCTAATTACTTAAGCATGTGACAATTTTTCTCTCATTCATCCTCCTCTTGTCCCAGTTTTATATTTTATTCATTACAACAAAATAATTGATCGGATAAGATATTGTTTTTTTAAAGCATCCAAACAAGGAAAATATAACTGATATGCACTTATCCACTGTGGAAGGGTAGATAAGAAACTCAAAAATTAATGTGCCTCTTAGTGCGAGATTTTTCACGACAGACGAACCATGTGAAGAAGGTTCTGTTATATAGTGATATCCGTGCAAAACCCTATATTCCATGGATAACTTCGCGTTTCCTTTTCTTTCTTTTTGGGATAGTTTTAAAGCTAAGGGAACCGGAAATGTTCTGCTTCCTTGGTTGTTTAGTGAATTACCTGCCCTAATATAAAGTTTGTCAAGTTTTCCGATTTCACAAATGTCTAATTTCCTATCATAAACAAAGTCATTTACAATTTGAATTTGAATAGGAATATTAGTATTCTATTTTTAAAGAACAATTAAGACACATCCGATATTAAGAAGCATATTCTCCACACTATCCATCATACATTTCTTGTCACCGTGACGCCTTCGCGTGCGCAGAGTTCTCCTGGCGTTGCTTGCTTGCTTGGTACGGGTGATTGCAACTATCTTTGATGAAAGATAGGCTATGTTCACTGAAACTTGAAAAACGTCCTAGTTAACACACGTTTTATGGTGAAATGTCGTATGTGCTCACAAAGAACTTTGTTTATTGTGTTCCTGTTCGCTTTTTTTTTCTTCACTGCAGCTCATTTTCACCCTGCTGGTCGCTAGCATTTCTCATTTTGAATTTCTCACCACTGCTATAAAATTTGTATATCCCCCTTGATCTTGCGGAGTCAAAGAGCAAATGCTCATCTTCTCGTCAATCCAATCCCCAAGTTAACCATCACACTCATCGGAAAAACTCCCAGTGCGTGTCTTAAATTTGATAAGACCTCTAACTGTGCTGAAGAAAATTTGCCACAGAGAAAACTCTTAGCCTGAGTGGCGAACGATGCACGCTATCATAAGAAATTGATCAAACCGAACTTCGGCGAGTGTGTGCTTCTTCGGAAATGATAGATCTTCGCACTCTCCAATTCGAACAAGCCTCGACCCGAAGTCCGTCTACTACGAGTGAGCGAGTGACTAATTTGCATATCCTTGTCCCTGAAATAACTCGTGGTACGCTCGCGCGCCCCCTCGAGTTAAAAATCAAGAAAATGGCTAGTTTGCCTTGATTTATTACTGATTCGTATTATTTTATAGTCAATGTCCTATCAATTGCCTTTTACTATATTATCAATGAAAAAGCAAAGATCATCATTTGCACTGAGAGGACATGTGATATCATTTTTATGAAAATGAAAGTTATATGATTTTGCCCTCAAAAAACGATTAGTGGGTCATATCTTCAACAAAATGATAGTGATTTGGTTTGTAAAACTCGCACCATTTTCTTAAAATGAGTAACTTCGTTGGTCCCCTGACCGTACTGTTATTTTTAAAATTATAAATTACCTCTTTCTGAACACAAATTTTCCACTTAAGGAAAATGTTGAAAAAATGATGTCGTAACGTTTGTAGCAATACAAATCATTCTACTAAAATCAAAGTGCCATAAAATATCTCTCTTTAATGCGTTTCCCCTCATATTTCGGGTGAAGATAATTTAGTATGTGCTCTGTCAATTTTTGGCACCAGCAAGATTCTCAATCATTGTTTTAAGGAAGCATTGGTCACGTTACCTGTTAGTGCAAGTGGCCTGTTGTCGCTGAATACAAAAAGTCTATGAAATGGCTAGTTTGCCTTGATTTATTACTGATTCGTATTATTTTATAGAGTCAATCATACTTTCAATTGCTGTTCACTATATTATCAATGAAAAAGCAAAGCTCACCATGTTTCCTGTAAGATTATAACCATCCTATATTCTCCCTGATCTCAATCTTATCAAAATTCATTGTATGCACAGCTTTTTTTTGTTTCTTTTCTTTCGAAATCGAAATTGAGTTCTGTAAGCTTTATAAAATGACTGTCAATAGTTCAATAACATTTACAACATTGGTTTTTAGTTATAATAAGTTAAACCTGACACCTTCCTTTGTTGGTGCAATTATCAACCTGATTTCTTTGTGTTACACCTAAAAAAAGATTAATATTGAGAGACTGAAACTGTCGTTGGCTAAGAAATCAGAACGGCCTAATGTTCCTCCTAAACTGTCATTAAACAGTAAGCAGTTTAAGTTCGTTTTGTTATCACTAATTGAAGGTTGCCCAATATTGGCAATCTCTGTAGTCTAAGAAAGTGAAAATTAAGAAACCCTTGCTCGATCCATTTAATTTTGTAAGTTAATGGATATTCAAGCAGCGCTAGCCCAGCTGCAATTTTCAATGAAAGATGCAAATATTTGTTCATTTGTTGGTCATAACTCGCAAATTAATCGCATAATGTGACGCATAATGTGAATACATCTCCGGGGGTCACCGATAATGATTTACCAGGAGCCGGGGGGGAGTACTACTTTATAAGAGGCTAATGGGGATGTGCTGCTGGATGGGGTCGCATATTCACGTCTGTATTGACTATAACGGGGTCGAGTTTACAATAGATTCACTAGAATGGGGTCGCACATTTTCTGAGTTTTGTAGTAAGACAGTTCTTCATATTTACGGTTAACAAACGTGTTTGCACTGTAGGCTTGTACTGTAGGTGAAAAGTAAAGTGTTCTTCATTCAATAGAAGGTAGATACATAAATAGAAAGTGACTATGTTGGGATCGCGAAAATTAAAAATTTGCCCAAAAGTGATTAAGATGGGGTCTATAATTGGCCACAGAATAGACTATAATGGGCCAGCGGCACATACCCAACAAAAATTAACCCAAGTACCCC